AAAGGGGAAGAATGAAGGCGCACTGTTCAAAAGTCCTGGGCCAGCGGCTTATATAGAGTTGCTTCCGAGTGACTGACCTGTAGGCCCAGGTAATCCTGTCAAATCCCGCAACAGTCGTGTGTGCGATACGTGGCAAAAAAGGTGGCGCGGAGATCGAGGCAGCTCCGCCCTATCCCATCCAATTACTGCGGCCTCCTCTGCCCCGCGTGCTTCCCAAAATTCGAATCCCACGAAATCCGCGAGCAGCAGAACAACTTGTCAGACGGAGTATCTCCTTCACACCGTCACTCGGAGCTTTTCAAGTAAAGAAACTCACTTGACTAAAACCAAGAATGGATCAAGGCGACTGAAAAGAAGTTGGTGTCGTTACTTAGGTTCACGAATCCATACCAAGATATACACAAAGCACAAAAAATCAGTCGGAAGAGTTCTCAACTCCTTCCCCACTCAAACCTCGATCCATTCGGGGGCTAATAATGAAGCTATGTACCTAGGGTAGGGTCATGGACCTGTCCAAGCTACCCTCCCCAAGGACATCTCTAGAAGAAACCACCTTTCAATCGACTCGGAAGTGTTCCACTCAACGGACTCGAAGACACTCGACCATGAAGACTATCACTCGACCATGAAGCCAACCACTCGACAGCCAGGAGATCTAAAGTCACTCTGCACTCAAACGGTCGGTCATTAAGTAGTTTTTATGGTCATCATAACACTTTATTTGTGGCGTTACCAGTAAAGCCCGATCTTAATGTACCTTAAACCCTACATAACTGAGGGTCGGAGGGGTCTGGCGAACTCTATATAAGCCACCCCCCTCCTTAGTGTAAAGGGTTCGCACCCCTGTAACACATACACACATAATCCAGTCGACCGTCTCCGGGCTCCGAGACATAGGGCTGTTAATTCCTCCGAGAAGGGCCTGAACTCGTAAACCTCTTGTGTATACAACTACTCCATAGCTAGAATCTTACCTCTCCATTCCTACCCCCTACATTACTGTCAGACTTAGAACCACGACAGGGTCTGCTAGAGATGTTCTAAAGGCATCTTCAAGACGGACCCGTAAATCTCCCGCAACCGTTGGACCATGGAAGCCATACAACGCCGACCTGTATCAGTTCACGGGGCGTCGATTTCTCCCGCAAAGCGGAGACAAATATGGGGAGATTTGCGGGAGTTTGGACCGATCCCAAACCCCTCTTTTGACCGTCCTGGCCAACCAACTTTGTTGATTTCACATCCTGAATGTTAGTAATATTTTTTTTCTATAAACTAGGTCAGAGTTTACGAGGTTTGACTTCAAAGAAAACTTATATGCAAACTAAAAAGGACCAAAGGGAGTATATACTAGTACAGATTAAATAAAGCTCCAATTTACAAATAATGAACTGGAACAACACAAAAAAGCCTCCCTGTCTAAAGGAAACAAAGAAAAAGGGAGCTCAAACCTATATTTCACTAAAACCCGTGGCTGAATGACTCGAGAAACTTATCCTAGTCCATCATAGAGAATTGCTAACTTGGTCCACAAATGTATATACACAATGCATGAAAACACATGACATCATGTAAAGCCAAGTCCCATCAAACCGGCTCTTGATCGAACTCACTTGCTCTTGTTATCCATGACGGCCATGCCCACTCCAAATTTGCCCACGATCTCGGTTCAACGTGCAGGTTGCACGCATTGCTCATGTATGAGTTTCCTCGAGGCCAATCTAGGGATAGAGGTACCAAACACCAGGAAAAAGGGAGAAATCCCCTTTGGTAAGGAAAAAAATGTTAGGAAAAGGGAGACTGCGATTGCTCGTGATGATTTTCACAATGTATCTTTTATGTAGTTTGTCGAGCTAATTGATAAGAAGAGAATATAATCACACACAACTGCACAATCTCTTAGCTTGAAAAGAACACTAGTATATATAAGAACAACTGAACACTATACAAGAGAAGTCCTAAAAAAAATACTCCCTCCATACACTAGTAGAAAACGGGCTTTTTGTCTCGGTTCCAGAGGGCCTTTAGTCCCGGTTCTGGAATCGGGACTAACTCCCCCCAGTCCAGGTTCTGTTATGAACTGGGACTAAAAGCCCTCCACGTGGCCGCTGTCTGGAGCTCCGCCTTTAGTCCCGGTTGATAACACCCACCGGGACAAAAGGTAATTTTTTTTATTTTTTTTTGAATTTTTTTCCTGATTTTTAAATTTTTGAATTATTTTACAATTTAATCTCTAATCACCCCTCATCACTGCTCCATACACTAGTAGAAAACGGGCCTTTTGTCTCGGTTCGAGAGGGCCTTTATTCCCGGTTCTGGAACCGGGACTAAACGTGGCCGCTGTCTACCACCTTAACACCAACTGGGACTAAAGGATATTTTTTGAATTTTCTTCTCGATTTTCAAAATTTTGAATTATTTTACAATTTAATCTCTAATCACCCCTCATCACTGCTCAATTTAATCTATAGTCTCTATTCTCTAATCACCCCACATCATTCCAAATCATCTAACTTCCCGGCCGGTCACCCATCATGTCACTACTCCAGCCTGGGCACACTTAACTTCCGAGTTCTATTCCGCCTAGTTTCCAAGTCTGCACTTGTTGTTTTCCTGACAATAGTAAGATGTCAATCCTATTAGCCCCCAAGAGTTTAGCTTGAGCATGAAGTCACACATTTCACTGTTTGAGTTTGAAACTATTATTCTAAATAATAATAATTATTTTGTAAGACTACTATTTCTTGAATAAGTAGTTTGACCAGATTTGACCAAAATTCAAAAAAATTGAAATAATTATTTAGTAACACTAATATTCTTAAATAATTATTTAATAATACTAATACTTCTTGATAAGTACTCCCTCCGTTCCAAAATAGATGACTCAACTTTGTACTAACTTTAGTACAAAGTTGGATCATCTATTTTGGAACGGAGGGAGTAGTTTGATCACAGTTTGACCAGATTTAATCAAAATTCAAAAAAACTGAAATTTGAGCATAACTTTTTTTCCATTTAGAATTTGAGGATTCGAAAAATTTGCAAAACGACCTATGGCCGTCAAAATTGGATACGGATTTTCATGCTGAAATTTTGATATGTTATACGTTTTCCGACATCGTATGCAAAAGTTATAGCCGTTTTACTTTTTCATAACAATTTTTGGCAAAACATGTCCAAATTTAAGTTTTTTAATTTTCGTAACTAGTAGATGTGGTAATATAAGTACATCTCGAAGTATTTTAATTTTGGAAATTTTTATCATTTTCTTTTGTTTTTTTTTCAAAACTGAAATGACGATACATGGGGGGGGGTAGAGTTTGAGACACGAACCCTTTTAGTCCCTGTTTGGGATACGAACCGGGACTAAATGATGTGCACCCTTTAGTCTCGGTTCGTGTCTCAAACCGGGACTAAAGGTCTAATCTTTAGTCCCGGTTTGAGATACGAACCGGGACTAAATGGTATCGCACCCTTTAGTCCCGGTCCGTGTCTCAAACCAGGACTAAAGGTCCCATTTGAACCGGGACTAATGCCTTCACGACGCTTTAGCCGCTCGAACCGGGACTAATGCTCATATTAATCCCGGTTCGTAACGCAACTGGGACTAATGTGTACATTGAGCTGTGACCAAAGCCCTGTTTTCTACTAGTGATATCATAATATAAGAACGTTTTTTACACCAGGAGAGTAAAAAAAAAGTCCCCAAACTCAAAAACAATGGCATACCTAGAGCTCGACCACGAGGGTACCAATCTTATCACTCGCGATGGAAAATGACATGTATATAATTATCATGTCAGCATTTTTCAATGCCATGGGGCAAATTAGCCGTGATAAAATGTTTTATTTGTTCCTATGAAAAATGGTTGTTCGTGCTAAGAATGTGGACACATAACCATGAAAACCACGAATAAACTTCTCTTTATAATAAATAAAGGTGAATTGGGATGTTTGATTGGCGCACTTGTCAGGCGCCAAGTGGTCGCGACATCCCGCCTTTCACCTCCCTCAACCTCTTATTTTTTTCACAACCCTACTTAAGCTCCTAATCACCATAGTTACCCTCAACAATCCCCTACTTATTTATATATTTAACTTAACCCAAGTAGAGTAGAGTCCTGACCATGACATGGCCTGCCTGGTGAGCCGTTGGGGGTGGGTACAAAAAAAATTCAAATTTTGAACACGGGCCGTGGTAAAACAGCAAATAAACAAGACATACAATAATCGTGACGCAGAGAGCGATAACGATCTGGATCCCCATCCCGGACCGGAGCCGGGCTCCCTTTTCAATTTCCTTCCCCGTCCGTCCCCCCCTCTCTCTCCTCCTCCTACTCCCCTCCCCCTCCCCCGTCTTCCTCGTGCAGCACGGCAGCAGGACAGGACAGCATTGATGGGCGCCACGGCCGCGGCCGCCCCCCGCCCCCTCAGCCCCCGTCCGGCCCTGGCGTGACGCCCCCCCGCGGATCCTCCTCCTCCTCCACCTCCGCCGCGCCGCCCGCCGAAAGGGACGAGGAGAAAGATCGCTGCTTCGGGTGGCTCCTTCCCCGGCGGGCCACGGTTCGGCGCGGCTCGATCCGGGCCGGTCCGCGCGGCGATTTGGCCCCGGCTGCGCGCTGCTGCTCCGGCCAGTCCCGCGCCGTTGACCCCGTGCCGCGCGCGGAAGGACGGATCTTCGCCGGCGTTCTCCGGCTTCGGCGGCTGGTTCCCCGGAGGGTTTCTTCCGGCGCTCGATTCGCAGGTATGGGTGTTACCTGCATTCTCGGTATATCTGCCTTGGGTTGCCTGGCGCCCTGCTCTCCCTCCCCTGTGTCCGGGTCAAATTCCAGATAAAGATCGGATTTTTTGGGGGGATGATTGGTCCGGCGCTGGCGCTCTGTCGATTACCTACTTTTAGCTGCGTTTTCGTGAAATGTGATTGCTTTTATTCGATTCTCTTGTGCTTGAGTAGTTGAGTGTGACATGTTTGATTTGCAGGTTTTGGACAGTGAGGAGGGATGGATGTGGAGAAAGCTGCATCCAAGGGGCATGGCTTCTTCGGCCTCTTTGATTGGAGCAAGAGCAAGAAGTCCAAGCGGCGGCTCTTCAGTGGAGGCGGGGGATATTCGCCGTCCCAGGGTAAGCAAATGTTTTGTACGAATCAAGTGGTTGCTGTAAGGTTTGATAAAATTCCAGGAATAAAAACAGGGGCTGCTGAGCTCACACACCAATTCTCTCCTTGCAGGGAATTCAGTAGATGGGAAGGAAGTTGACGGCAGCATGCCGAGTACGCCATCAAACTCGGTGCGTGTTCGGGTTGCATCATCTTTTTTCTAGCTGCTCTGTTTGCTTGTTTACTGTCATTCTGATGTCTCAAACTGTGCATATTGGCAGATCCTTGAAGATGGGATGAGTATGAAGGAAAGCAGCGAGCATAGCTGTTCATCCTCTGTAATCGACGACGAAGCTTGTGCGAGGACGGGACCCACTGTTGTGGCGAGGCTTATGGGTTTGGACTCCATGCCTGCGGCAAGCTCATCTGGACCCTACCCGGTCCCTTTTACCGGGCAACATACCTTCCAAACTATTGCCCATGATGAGTTGATTGGCAGAAGCTATGTTGGCCTTTCTAGCCCTCATAAGATGCCGAGTAGTCCCATTGATCGGTTTAGAATGGAAGCGCTGCCTCCAAGGTTTGCCAAAAGGACACTTTCAGTTGCACAGCATAAGTTGTTCTCCCCAGTGAAGAATCCTAATCATGTATCAAGCAGAAATGCTGCTGATATAATGGAGGCGGCATCTAGGATTATTGGGCCTGGAGCTGAGAATACTAGCTCTTACAGAGTCCGTGATGCTGGGTACTCAAATGATGTGCGTGCCTTCAGCCCAACGGAGATTGTAAGAGTCCAGCAAATGTCCCAAGCGGCAAGAAGGCGTGATGGCTCTGCATCTTCTAAGCCACAGAGTGGAAGATCGTTGGATGGAAGTTTGGTAACTTCAGAGACATCCTCTTCTGCCAGGTTCTCACAGTCAAATGGTGGTGCTCCAGTTGCTCCAAGGGTCAAGGCCGTCAGTCGACCATCGTCAGAATTTAGAGCTACAAATGGCCAAGGGAGAGAAGGTGTAAGCAGAAGCAGTAGGAAACCTCCAACTCGCACGGATCCTGTACATAACATGGTTGAGAGAAACGGGTCCAGTCAACAAAGGCAGAAGATTAGTAGCAGAGTGGGCATGGCAAGTTCTTCCAACGTGCTTGTGCAAAATAACACAAAGCAGAATGCTATGGGTGTTGAGCGCAAGCTGAATCCCAAGTCAGCAACACACAGTCAACAACAAAGAAACCTGCATCCACCAAATGCTGCTCCCAGAAAGGCTGGGGTCACAAGCGCACGCTCTGAAAACACTATGAAAGGCAACAGAAAGGGGGAATTGCAGCCAACCAACTATGCAAACAGAAGACCAAACTCTACAGCCAAAACAATCCCCAAGCCGAGAAGATTACCAGATGAGGGCATGCGTTCAAAGAAAAACCAGCCAAGTGATAAAGTTCTCACTGAAAGAAGCCCAAGGCGTGTTCGGCACAATATTGTGATAGAGGAGCAATCATCTTTCACCACGAACAAAAAGAAAATCAGCACTGAGATTGTTTCGTTCACATTTACCTCACCAGTTGACAAATCATTACATGGTTCTCAGTTTCCCCATTCAGTGGAAAAACGGTCAATAGAGAATTGGAACTCAGTGTCAACTTCAAGCAACACATCAAACACTGAATCAGATACCATAGATGGTGATTATTTGAGACTTCTTCTTGAGCAGAAGTTGAGAGAATTGACTTCTGGGGTGAGGTCACCCTATTCTAAGCCAGCCAATGGTGTTCGAATATACGCCCCTTCACCAGGTTTGGATGACACGGCATCAGCCTGTGACACATCCAGCATTGCATCTACTGATTATGATAGGGACTCCATACAGTCTTCAAAGGATGGAAAAGACAAATTCCCCCGGACAGATCTTGTATTAAAAGATGATCAGGTATGGCATTTGAGATACCACTCTTCCTATTTTACCTATTTCTTGCCAACTACATGTCCTATGCACGGTACCATTTTCCTTGTGAGCATTGGCTGGAAAACAAATGACCATGTTACCTAGTTAGGCATAGTATGTTTTCTCCATATAGCTATGGTACATTCTAGAGCAGGATTAGTGAACATGGTTAGTTTATCTTGCACTCATGTTTGAAGATTGTGAAAACCTGAATGTTCAGTAGTTGATAGTACAACATAAAGAGCAACTATCTGTGTTGTCCTTTAGAAGCAACAGCAGTAAACTGATATTGGGGTTGTACATGATCAGCTTTGAGCAAAGATAGAAACACTGAATTGATCTCATTGATCATACAGGTAGGAAGGGAATTTAGCTTTGGTATACTGCATTGAGACTTGATAGTTTGAACTTTGAACACTTGACCTTCTCATTCTCTGCAAAACTGCGGAAATTGGGAACTAACTGTGCCATCAATACAGCGCTGAGCCTGGATTTATGTACATGTTCATCACAAGTTAAGAACTGGTTTATATGCTAACATTAGCTTCTCTTTATGGCCAGTCATCTCAATCTGTGAAGTATGATAATGGTTTCATTGATCAAGTGGAGTTAGAGCATCTTCACCTAAGCCCCCATTCTACATGGGAAGCTTCTCTTTCAACAGAAACCTGCAGCTCTGCAGAGAGCCGAACAAATGCAAATGGTGAGTGAGTATACAGTTTCTTTGTTGTTGCAATAGCACTAGCCACAGATCTTTCTCAAAACCTTCAATATTTCTCCCTTTTCAGAATCAAGGTTATTTAGTTCAACAGAAGGAGCAGCAACATCTGGTTCGACACACTATGGTAGGGTCCTAGAAGTGGAGGCTTTATCAGAATATTCTGATACAGCCTCATCAATCACAGCGACTTTAGCCGAAACAACACATCCATCAGAAAGCAGCAGCTCATGTCGTATGGAGATAAAGTTCTTAAGAGAAATACTGAATGCTATTTCTGTCAGAGATAATGCTTGCTCTTACTTCGAGCGATTTGATAGCTCAAATATCCTGGATCCACATCTGTTTGAAGAACTAAATGGCAATTTTAGGCTGCCAGTGGGTGAAGAAGAGGGAAAATCTTTCGGAATGATTCGGAGGCTGCTCTTTGACTGTGTGAATGAAGTATTAAGCGTGAAATGCACATACTACTTCAATGCTGGTTACAGCTCATGGTTTACGGGGATGGCAGTTCTGCAGAAGCTCTCGCCGGAAGAAATCTACCAAGAGATGACCAGTCTGAAGGTTGCCGAGGAGTGGATGGTGGATGAACTCGTGTACAAAGAAATGAGTGGCCCTCTCGGGAGCTGGGTCGACTTCAAGACGGAGTCACATGAAGCTGCAAAAGACATAACAGCAGAGTTGCTAGAATCCTTGACCGATGAAATGGTTGCTGACCTTCTATATTGGTAGTTTGGTCATGCAATTATTGTGCATTTTGTTTGTCGAGAACTACAACAGGGGCCCTGACCTGCCCACCATTTGATGATAGATCAGCGGCTGTCAGAGCCATTCTCTACTTTTTTTGGGGACATTTCGGTTGTCATGATGCAGAAAATAGTGAGGCATTGTAATTTTTTTTCTTTCCTTACTATGGCCCATTGTTAACGAAAATAGCTGGTACTGTATGTTGTACAATGTTGCATTTTAGCTGTATGAATGGTGGTCTGTTCTTTGCAAACTATACTGCTGGTAATTATTTGTCGTCTGAGAAGATAGCACAAACTATTTACCCTCTCTTTTCAGCTGTGTTTATCTCGTGTTGTTAATGGAGGTAACTGGTACTGCATTGTTGCACAAATGTGACATTTTGTAGCTGTATGGATGGTGCCTGTTCTTACAAACCAGTCTCTCTCGTGTGCTGTATTTATCATGATCTGAAGAAAAAAATATTTGGTCGTCCAGGCAGCAACAAAGTACTGAAAACTCGCATTTGTCTACGATTTATTCTCTTGCAGTTGTAAGATCTGTCTCTACTTTGTTTACCCTACAATAACTTGGCACCATGTCAATCTATGATTGTTATCTACTGAATGAGGCTCACTTCCGTTTTTCTTTTCTTTGTTTTGTACAAGTTCCAGCATCAGAGTCAACATGACGCATCATCTCCTATATCCTCTACCGGAGCCACCCCAGAGCGAAACATGGCTCCTCTTGCAATCGTGCACCGATGAAGTTCATCCTACAGAATTGACATCACATGAATCGGCATGACGACTTCTCCATATTGCACAGAGTAAACTACACTGGAGCTCCTTCTGTCCACATAGCATCCTGATGCCTCACACGCCGATGTTGATCTTGATCTCTCGCATGCGCAAAACGCTGAACGACTCTACAACTTGAAGTAGGCGAGCAAGCACTGAGTTTGTGGTTCTCTTATAGGCATGCCATATGTTACGGCTGCAAGGCCATTACATGTGTTCTAGTATTAAAGAAGGGTACGGTACATTAGATCTGTTGGACTTGATTCACTGCAAATTAAAACACTATTGGTTGGTGGAAACATTTATGTCCTTTTTCTAGCATGCAAAGTTTCCACTCATGATTTTAGGGATCTGAAAGCAATGATTGGCGGTGGATACATGCACGGTATATCCCGTACATGGTGGAAAAAAATCACTCTATTATTATAGGACGTGAATTTTTAGGACATGCGGCCATGCAATGCCGTAATCCCGTGCGTCCATGCATGCATCAGGATTGCTACTTAATATAAGCCCATTCACAATACCTGACACATTAATCACCGACGCTGGAGAGTACATTGTGATATACACCCCTCTAGTGAGCCAGACGGCATTTATGTTGGAAGGAATACAGGCTTGTCAGTTAGCGAATAGTCTCTCTGCTTTTTCTTTTTCTTTTACGAATAGTCTCTATGCCCCGTGCCCCCTGAATTGTCACGCGGCCCATCTGGCTTTTCTGGAAGCTTAACGAATCTAGCCCACTGGAGCCCAGGCCCATGCTGGATACGAGAGAAGGCATAAAAATATAATCTGCAGTCGTAGGAGTCGAACTCACGATCTATCGATCACGAGGGAGCAACTAGTTAACAAGCGCTCCTTCGGAAGCCTCACAACGATCAACACCACTTGGCGCGTTCTCAGCCATTCGCCATGTGTCACGCTCTGGACGCTCCCTTCAGATTTTGTTTTTTTATTTTTTCGCACGCGTTTTCGGCTTTTTAAACGGTTTTTTTTCTGGGTTTTTTCGACGTTTTGGTTTTCCCCCGGTCTTCCTTAGCTTTTCGACAAAAAAAATGTTCAAAAAAAAATTCACGAAAAAACGCGTTTTTTTGCGAAAAGTCACGGTTTTTTCTTCCGCGAGAGGCACGGTTGTGCTTTAGCGAGAGTCACGGCCGTGCCTTTCAGAAACAAAAAAAATGCGTTTTCTGTTTTTTTCTTTCTCGAGAGTCACGGTTTTACTTCCGCGAGAGGCATGGTTGTGCTTTCGCAAGAGTCACGGCCGTGCCTATCGGAAAGGAAAAAACAAAACGCGTTTTCTGTTTTTTTTTCTTTCACGAGAGTCACGGTTTTGCTTTCGCGAGAGACACGGTTGTGCTTTCGCGAGAGTCACTTTCATGCCTCTCGGAAAGGGAAAAATATGCGTTTTCTGTTTTTTCTCTTTCACGAAAGTCATGGTTTTGCTTTCGCCAGAGGCACGGTTGTGCTTTCGCGAGAGTCACGGGCGTGCCTCTTTTCGAAAAGAGAAAAACATGTTTTCTATTTTTTTTCTTTCACGAGAGTCACGGTTTTGATTCCCCGAGAGACACGGTTGTGATTTCGCGAAAGGCACGGGCGTGCCTCTTTCAGAAAGGGAAAAAAATCGTGCTCCCGGTTTGGTTTTTTGGTCCGGTTTTTTTCATGAAAAAAATGTTCGTCAAAACCTATCAACATGGGATCTAATTTTGAAGATTTCGACGCGAGGAATCCAATGGTGAAAACGGTTTGAGATTTGTACGCACGATTTAAGAGATAAAACGTATTGAATAAACGGATCTACGAAAAAGGGAAAACTACCAGGTTGCGACAAGTGGCGCGCTACATGTGCACCACTTGTCGTGACCTGGGAAGGTGGAGTATTCTTTACAATGAGTACTTCTTAATTAGTGATTTCGATTGATCACTTATAGTGACTACATCCAGCTGAGCTATGAGTTGGGTTGAGTTTTGAATAGACTTCATGTCAAATAGTACCACCTCGCTTTATTACATCCTATGTCACTAATTTAAATATCTGTGCAATCTGAAATCATCAAGCCGCCTCAAGAGTCAAGAGAAGGAATTAACAAGCGAGAGAAAACTGATAAAATAAAGAAGGGAGAAAAGCACGGCCGCCCCTGTGGGAAAGAGAACCAATTTAATACAACGGAAAATATGCAGCACGCCTTGGATGGAAAGAAATAGATTGGATCCGACTTGATAGGATGGGGACGGACATCTCGGTGGCCGTCAGCGGCGCGATGATACGTCCATTTTGCATCATGCTTTTATATCGATATTTATTGCATTATGGGATGTTATTTCACATTATGTCACAATACTTATGCCTATTCTCTCTTATTTTACAAGGTTTACATAAGGAGGGAGAATGCCGGCAGCTGAAATTCTGGGCTGGAAAAGGAGCAAATATCAGAGACCTATTCTGCACAACTCCAAAAGTCCTGAAACTCCACGAAATATCTTACAATAAATAATAAAAAATCCTCGCCAAAGATGAAGATCAGGGGGCCCACACCCTGTCCACGAGGGTGGGGGGCGCCCCCCCAGGGCGCGCCGCCCCCTACCTCGTGGGCCCCCTGTTGGCTCTCCGATGCCCATCTTCTGCTATATGAGGTCTTTCGATGAGAAAAAAAAATCAGAAGCAACCTTTCGGGAGGAAACTCCGTCGCCACGAGGCGGAACCTTGGCGGAACCAATCTAGGGCTCCGGCAGAGCTGTTCTGCCGGGAAAACTTCCCTCCGGGAGGGGGAAATCATCGCCATCATCATCACCAACGCTCCTCTCATCGGGAGAGGGCAATCTCCATCAACATCTTCACTAGCACCATCTCCTCTGTAACATCCCAAATTTTTAATTTGGAATGTTATACACTAGATCATCATGCATATCATATTTTCTTGCATTTTGGTTGATCTTAGAAATTTCACGCAACTCAAGGACCCACGGAGAGAGTTGGAGATTTCGTTATTTTCATATTTGAGTTTTCTCAAATTTGAAAAGAGAATCATTTGATTTATTTATTTCATCTTCAATAATTTTTCCGATATCAAAAATATGAGAGAGGGAATAATATGACTTTCCCAAAGCTAGGAAAAATGAAGATTTAATGAATAAATCAAATTTTGGGTTTGCCGGAGTTTTGTTTGCTTTTATTTGGATAGGGAAAAATGCGCGTTTTCAAAAATTGCATTTTAGGCCCGAAGAAAAGTTCATTTTGTTCGACTCATTTTTAGGAGTCGGGGAAAATTTACTTTAGAATCTTTGGAGTTCGTTTAGATTTTCTTTCTTTTGTTTTTCTGCGCGCGTAACCGTTTAAAAAAAAGGAGCAGCGTCCCGCCCGGGCCAAGGCCCAGCCGGCCGGCCAGCTCCAGCCGCGCGCCGTGCGCCAAGCGCAGGCAGCCAGCGCCAGGCCGCCGCCCCTCTAGGCCGAGTCCTAGTAGGACTTTAGCCCCCCCCCTTTCCTTTGTTTCGTTTTCCTATTCCTACTCTATTTCTTGTCCCCTACCCCAAGAAACCCTCTAACTTCACCTATATAAATACCCCCACACCCCCTCCAAAACATCAAATCAAACCCCAAGCCCCACACCACCCCGCGACCCTCACCCGCCTTAGCCGCGCCGCCCCGCGCCTAAGCCGCCGTCGCCGCCCCTCACCCACGCCGCCGCCCTTGTGCATCGCCGCCGCCGTTCGCCGGAGCCCCTCGCCGGAAGCTCGCCGAGGTAGCCGCGCCGCGTCTCTCCTATTCCCCCGGTTCGGTTTTTCTTATAAACCATTCCGATTCTTTTCTTCTCTTCTGATTCGTTTTCTTTCTGGTTCTTTTCTAAACCGTTCCAGTTTCTAGATTGGTTTTTCGTTTCGGTCTTTTTCTTCGAAAACCCTAGATCGGTTTTCGTTCTTCTTTCGGACCATTCGTATCAACGAACGTGATCACCGATTCTTCCCCGGTTAACGACGCCCGTTCGTTTAACCATTTGTCTCTTTCTTTTCGTCGGATTTTTTCCGCGATCGTGATCTCAGATCCGATCTTCGTTCTAGTCTTTCTTCTCGCTCGTTTATCCGAATCAGGTGATTCAAACGCCTGGAGTTCCGTTTCGAAACCGCCATTCCGTCTAATCAACTTAAACAAGTTTTTGCCCCAGTAAAATTTGACCTAGTTTCAACTTGCTAGAACCGAGTTGTTTCTTCCGCCGTTTTGTTTTCCGTTTCTTTGTTCGGTTCGTTCTTTCTTTGCAACCGGAGTTCTTAAGTTGAACTTTCTGGT